TCATAAATTCTCATCCCAGAAACGCTCTGCTGAATCGCGATAAGCAGGAAGGCATATTCGGTGTCAGAGGGAGGGTATTTGTAATATTCGGTTGACTGATGGTTTTGTCTATTGTACTTAAAGGCATCCAGCTGCCTGGAGTTTTTAGGGCTTGGAAACCCGACTTTTCAAAGTCAACATTCTAGTCACTTATGATCTACATACTGAGTTGAAACTACACAATCCCAATTTATGTTGACCCTAATGGAGCAAAAATACCTAAAATTCTGGCGGAAAATGTTTACTGGAAGGGCCCTGGGCTGATTTTTAGGATACCTCCCATAGAATGAAGGACTCATCTTGGGGCTTGTTTCTCCATTACCCAAAGTATGCAATAATGATTGAAATGTGCTAATGTGAAGCAGTATATGTCAATATCATTAAGATTGCCTTATTCAGAATTTTTCCAGTTTTGCTGCTCTGAAGTCCACCCCCCAAAAAAGTCTAGGGTCTGCAGGTTTTTCTAGGGTCGGTTGAAAAACAGGAGACACATTTTTTTTCCTAGGCCTTACAGTTTAAACTTGCTATACTACAATAACTGTGACTGTGACCACACTGCAAAGATCTAAAAACCAAGAAATCCACTAAGCGTAGCCTAAGTGGTGAAGTTTCAGGGGGACTGCAGGGATGTGTTGTGTCCACTGTGGAACGTGACATGACAGATGTGGTGCTTTACTGAGCTGCCTTATCTTTTCTTCCCATGATGAAATCACCACCCAAGACAGCTCCGGAAGATGGAAGACAAGAAATCCGCCCTGAAGCTAAGACATCCCTGGAGAGTCAACGCAGTACCTTAGGCCAGGGAAAAATCCTTGTGCTTCCGGTGTCCTGACAAGAAAAGAAACTCCAAGAGCTAAGGAATCTCAAGAGGCACAGGACACAGTGAAAGAAGATTAAGAAAGACTGAGTGCAGCTGTAGGATGTATCTACGCCAACGCAGTACCTTAGGCCTGGGATTAAATTTTGTGTTTCCGGTTAGTTTCCTGTTTCCCAACCGACCCTAGAAAAAACTGCTGAGCCTAGCTTTTTTTGTGTGGACCCCTGCAAGGAACATATATTTTATAAACATTTGCCACGTGCCTTCTCGCATCGAGGAACAGCATTATGTACACACTTTGTCCTTCCAATGTGTTTAAACAAAGCCTCTACTGGTACTTTTTAAACATCCGTATGTAATTGTGTATTAATTTTGTACTTGTTTTTTGTATTGTCCCTGTTTTTATATGGCCATTTGGCCTGAAACAAAGAATAAAATAAATTTAGCCCTACCAGTCTAGAGAAGGGACAATGCACCTTACATGCAAGGCTGAGTGACTAGTCACCACCAGGACTTTACAAAGTACTCGCTATAGCCTGATAAAGTCTTTGGTTGACAGTCAGAATCTCTTCTCATAAACTATACAACATGATGTACCCTGCTACCGTAGAGGAGCTTATACATCCAACACTGCAGCGCATATCATGTAATAAACTTTGAAGGGTGCATTTAGAGATACAGTACTATAACTGTAAATCTTAAAATGTTTACTGTGGCTTTATTTCAATGGTTTCTCAAAGTGACTGCAAATTTTTGTTTTGTATCATACTATTGAAACAGTCATGCTCTCAAATATCAGTCTGAGAGTTATCCAACCAAGAATTGAGGTGTTCAAAAACTCGTAGTTTCCAAGAACTATCGTAGACTGGAACTCGTTGCCACCAAGCACAGTTGGTGCATATCATCACTAGAAAGATTTAAACAACTCCTGAAATCAAATATGCAAAGATTGGGTGTAACAAGTCGTTCGGTGTGATATACATGTAGCTAGCTGCCACCGTGCCGCATGCCTGTGAAGCTGATGTGTTAGGCCTAAGGGCGGCTATACCGGCTATACAGATACAGACACCCTTACCAGCCCACCAAAACAAAACCTCCATTCAAGGAGGTAAAAAAAAACTTTGAAGGACACATTAAGAGACACAAAAGCCATCAGTTACACACAGCTGTTCCACATAGACTTATCAATCAATATGAGATGGAACTTCCGAACTTTTCTGTCAATATATTATATCAATATACAGCAAGCCTTACGGGACTGTGATAACACCACAGTAGGTGGTTATCACACAGGAAACAGATGGCATTATGCACTGCAGTGCAGTCAGAAGGCAGTAGCAGTACTATCAGCATAACAATATATATTTCATACATTTACAATACCAAAGTTTTGCGATATCTCGGAGAAACAGCCGGCGAGACTTAATGCCGTGACACTAGAGGAGGGAATCATCGCATCAGAGCATTGAAAATTATATATCTTGGGGCTTAGGGGCTGTCACATCGCATAACATAGATCATCATTACTGCAACTTGAAGAAGTATATTCAGTAGAGTGGATTCATTCCTCAAGCTATCCGACATCTATCACACCACAGTCCTCCCTCAGTAAGACATCTGGAGCTGCGTGCTTCCTGTTTGGAAACTTTTATTCAGCCTGTCAAAACCGGTTTGGCCCTGGGAGCTTACTCAAGTGCATAGAGACCATTTATGACTCAAGTTCAAGTTAGAAGTTGTAGAAGGCTTCCCAAGTTCACCATGTATATTCACAAGTTCAAGGGAGTCATCTAAGGACACAGCTACCTGCCTTTGTAATATTACTCTGGACATGCAACGTCAACTCATAATTTTAATGGGTGCCCTACAGCAAATTAAAGAGATCTACATTATTTTGTACTAATGCAGCATGTTATCCCTGAGGTCTGCACACTTCAGATATGTAGGTGTTCCAGACATTTTTGAAAAGGCCTTAATACGCCTATTTTTAAAAGCAGTGATCCACTTAGCGTTAATAACTATCGACCAATATCTGTCCTTCCCTGCGTATCTAAGGTCTTAGAAAACTAGTATATAATCGTCTTCTGAAACATTTAAATCAAAATAACATCCTATATAAACACCAATATGGCTTCAGAAAGGGCTATTCTACGTCTCTAGCACTCATACACTTAATGGAAAAAATCTCTACCGCTATAGATAACAAAGAATACACTATAGGAATCTTTCTCGATCTATCAAAGGCTTTTGATACAGTTAATCATTCCATTCTACTCAATAAACTAAAACGATATGGTATAAGTGACACCGCAATAAAATGGTTCTCTTCTTATCTATCCAATAGACAGCAATACGTAACCCTTAATGATAATAAATCACAACTTAAAATAATAGAATGTGGTGTCCCACAGGGTTCGATATTAGGACCCCTACTTTTTTTGATTTATTTAAATGACCTCGAAAAAGCATCTTCAATTATATTCTTTATCCTATTTGCAGATGATTCAAATCTTTTTCTCTCAAACTCGAATTTTGATACGCTAGTAAACCTGGCTAACGAAGAATTGAAAAAGGTTATATCGTGGTTTGAGGCAAATAAATTATCAGTCAATGTTAAGAAGACATACTACCTTATTTTCTGTAATAGAAATAAAACCTACAATAGAAGCGCCAAAATCTTTTTAAAAAATGTGACCCTTTCTCAAGAGAGTCAAGCCAAATTCTTAGGTATAATCATTGATGAACGATTGACCTGGAAACCACATATAACTATAGTTAGGTAAAAAAATTTCAAAAACTATCGGTATTATTGGAAAACTTAAACATCTTCTTACTCAAAAAACCATTATTACCATATACAATAGCTTAATATACCCATATCTAACCTACGGGAATATAGTCTGGGGATGCGCCTACAAAACCACACTACAGCCCCTAGTATTACTCCAAAAAAGATTTGTTCGTTCAGCCACCGGCGCCAGTTTCCACGCACATTCTGCACCTTTGTTTACAAAACTTAATATTTTGAATATTTTTGACATAAACAAACTTCATCTGATGCTATTTACGTTTAAATTCCTTACTTGTTCTCTTCCAGACACATTTAATGGTCTTCTAAATCTTAATTCCCATTTTCATACTTACCAAACTCGACAAAGTGCCCATTTACATATCCCCCTAGTTAGAACGTCCGTAGCCCAAATGAGTGTAAAATATAAATGTATAACTACTTGGAATAATCTCCCGCTCCACCTAAAATTTTTAACATCAATAATTAGCTTTAAACGAAATCTTAAAAATCACCTACTTTTCTTTTCCACCGACATTTGATTTCTTATTACTTTGATTTCATCTGTATAAGTTTGAATCTCCGTTTCTCTTTAAAATTCATTTTTTTTCTTGAGTTATTGCTTCAATTCTGCCAATGTCTGTATTGCAGTTCTGTTAACGTTAAAGTTATAGTTTTTAACATATCATTTCTAATTAGCGTTATTTATCAATCACTTTTGTTATTCATGTTACTATTTGTTTTGTTACTATTATCATTTTGATCATATTGATCAAATTTATTAATTACCTATTGTTATTTATTATTATCATTTGATTTGTTAGCATTATTTTAGTTGTTAATTAATTTTGTCGGGGAAGATCCCAGACAAGCCACTATGGCTTCATATCTTTCCCCAGCATTTTATTTTATTGTCAATAACATTTTCATTTTATTGTTATCAAATATATGCGAACCAATAAACAAACAAACAATACTAATAACACCATTTTTTGATACGGTCGTCTCAGGGTCCCCAGTGGAATTATTGTTAATCCATGACAGTTAATCGTTGTTGGCTGGATATTGTACAAGTAAAAATATGTATGAACAAAACTGGACGCTACCAAGTGTAAATTGGAACAGTGCATAATGAAATCATAAAAGTGAGCAGAAAGAAACAATGGGTAATTGAGTGGATGAAGGAAGGAGGAAATAAAGGAAGGAAGGAAGGAAGGATGGAAAGGAAGGGAGGAAAGGAAGGAAAGGGAGGAAGGAAGGAAGGAAGGAAGGAAAAAAGCAAGGAAGGAAGGAAGGAAAAAAGTAAGGAAGAAAGGGAGCAAGGAATGGAGTAAGGAACAAAGGAACGAATGATCCCACCTTGAGTGCCTTGGTGCGGACTGCTATGGAGCTGGCCATCTTATTGGTGGATGTCTGGATCAGCTGGGTACCGTTGATGGTCTGCAGGCTCAGTCTCCCAGCAGCCACCTCACTAGCATAGGCCTGTCAATCATGTACAAAGTTAGCTGTCAATCAAAAAAGTACACTGGGCAGTAGTCCTAGACACTTTGTGTGGGTGAAGAACTTTTTTATTCACAATATTTATTGAGTATTGGGCAAAAAGCAAAAGTTGCTTTATATAACTGCACCTTCTATTCAAAAACATACGAGTATAAAACACATTGACAAGATACATGCATAATCACAAGGTGGATAAAACCAAGATAAGTACAAGACAAGTTGGTGATCTATCAATTACGAGAATCTACCCGTACAGTAAATGAAGTTTTGAACTACATCAAAACATTACAGTTTTGTGGGTGTGCTTTTAAAGTAAAGGAGAAGTTGGTTGAACACTAATTTCAATACAAACTGTGTATAAGTTTTCTTGTGCATTTTCTCCTGTGCTAAGCGCCTTTCCCAAGGGTACAACATTGTGGTCTGCTAGGTATTTGAACCCCAAACCTTGGATTCAAAGTCAACAAGATCACCTCAATACCTTTGACACCTCCTTGTCACCTGTAATGTTCTATGAAAACAATTATCCACATATTTTCCAATGTGAACAATGGAAAGGCAACAACAATACTTTCAGCACCAAGGAGAGACATTGGTATTTATTCTATAGGCCCATTATTTGCATTGTGCTTGTGCATTGATCTAACACATCATCAGCATTAGAAGAAGAATATTAAAATGACAGCATGATACAACATAACAAGTACATGTACAAAAGAATTTAGATATGAAGATCGTTGATGAAGGTTAGACATCCTGGTAAATGAGACATTGAGGCAACAGTTTCTCAAGCAACTGGATAGGTTTAAAAATAGTCAGACATAATAACCTTAAAGAGGACTCAATCTACGGCGATTCCAGGAATCATCTGAGTGCAAAACTTCTCAACTTCATTAAAAACCCTTCCTCCATCGGCATGATTTCGGTAATGAGATCAAGGCAACAGTTTCTCAAGCTACTGGAAAGTGTTCAGACAAATTACTCTTAAAGAGAACTCAATTTATGGCAATTCTAGGAATCATCTAAGTGTACAACTCCCCAACTTTGCACTACATAACTACAAAAGAATCTAAATAGGGAGATTAAAATGGTCAGATACATGTAGAATAATCTTAAGAAGACTCAATTTACAATTCCTACAATTCTAGGAATCATCTGAGTGTAAAACGTCCCAACTTCACAAAAAACCCTCCCTCCTTTGGCATGATTTCATCCATCCATCAACCTGACGTAATCAATGCAGCATCTGACGAACACTCTATTCACATAATGCAAAAGGCCGCGAGAGGTCAACATCAAGTTAGCATCCTATTTCCCAAGGCTTGATGTTGTGTGGTTGTAATCAAAAGAGATGGATGGAGAATCACGTTGTATTGACAGTCGGAAGATGAGGAGAGTTTATGCGTGAAATTGTGGTTGCAACACCTTTTTGTGTGCTCTATCTGACTGTGCATCTGAACTAGAGCTGTGCTGAGCCGTTTTGGAAAAAGAGTTTACTGGGTTTGATACATGTAGGACTGTATTGATGAGGCAAGAAAATCTTTAAAATCACCTTTCATATAGGTCACACTTATTTAGTTCCATGGCATTCTGGTCTTTTACAGTGAAAAAATAGCAAGAAGACATGACAAAGTCTAAGTTAACTAATACCTATTGATACACAATCACTCTAAAAAAAGACACAGACTTGCTTTGGTAAAACCCTGTACAGAGCCCCACCAGAAAACCTCACACTAAAACCCCTGATGGAGCCCTCAAGAAAGAAGTCTAACTCTGACTCAAAGGCATCCAATGGAAGCAAAGATCCAGTAAATAAAGTAACACTCCCCCATACAGAACCCTTGGAAATTAAATCCCCCCAAACCCCTTTACACACCCTCTGACAGCCCCAAATCCCATCCACACCTCCCAAAACACTCTGCCATTACATATGATGTACGTATTCCCCGCAAGGCACAGTTTCTTTCAACTGCTGGCTTTCTGTTTTGAATTACAGCGGTTAAGCCGCTCTCTAGGCAGTGCCGTTTATGCAGCCATCTGAATTCCTTCCATTATATCCAGCACCATTTGAAAGCTGCAGCAGTGACTACAGCTTTAAAGTGTGACCCTGCATATTTCAAAAGTCTCTGTAATACTGGTTTATACTACAGTCTCATTTTCTTTTGTGAAACTTTATGCGACTTTCATGTAGCGAAAAGAATTACTAGTATGTTGCCATTTTCTTCACTGCGGAAGAAGCAGGAATAAAAATGCTGCCTCCTGCCCATGAAATCTCTAACTACCCTGGATAGCTTTCTTCAGATTTTAATACAGTCTCATTTTCTTTTGCAAAACTTTATGCGACTTTTGCAGCGAAAAGAATTATGTTGCCATTTTCTTCACTGCGGAAAAGGCAGGAATAAAAATGCTGCCTCTTGCCCGTGAAATCTTTAACCACCTTTGATAGCTTGCTCCAGGTTTTAATACCTGTCTAGAACCCATGGCTTAAGGCCAGATGTGGCAACTTAATAGTTATCTCTTCCAAACACCTGGTAATATCTTATGGTCGTGGCAGTTTAAAGACTGTCTTATGTACAGGCAGGTAAAATCTTTCTGTAGGGCTTTGACAACTTGATTTGTTGGAGCTCAAATCAGAAGATAAAGCAAAAAGGGAATAATCTAAACACGGAGTCTAAGAGAAGGTTTTATTTCTGCTCATCACACTTTCAAGATCAAATGAAGTAAAAGATTCTTGCTCTTTGTTTTTTTTTTGTCCTCTGGTTTTATTTTGAAATATTCCTGAAAGAAAAAAATACATTTATCTGAAGATTTAGACTGGTTTTTATTCTTAGACGACGTGTATTTCTTGTTCCAGTATACCAATTTAGGAACAGCCGACAAAAGAACAAGACATTTACATAAAAAGGCTTAGACTTTAGTTTGCTTGCAAAAGTCACTGCAACATAATGTAGCTTACATGTTTAAAACATCTTTGGTGTAATAACTGATACAGAGGAACTTTCAGTAAAACATTCAGACCCAAAAATAAATCAATACCTTACCTAACCTATGGGGAAATAAAATTCTGCATCCAAAATATGTAAATATTAGTAATTTAACTCCCAGACAGAGTTATTTTTGGTCCTTATATTTGGTAATTTATTTTTCATCTCTACCTAGATCTATACTTTAGAAGTGTACCCATTGAAAGCATACATTAAAAAACTTTGAGTGAAACTATGAAAAGATAAAATTGTGACTTACTGTCAGTAGATATATACTACACAATAAAAACAACTTTGTAACTGTATATATTCCACTCGCATCATATAGTTGAGCACCCATAATTTCAGCTGTTATTTTCCTACATTCCCTTTCAGCTCACACAGGGATATGAATACACTGAGAAAGAGCAATCGATAAAAATGCAGAAAAGGGGTATTATGCTCTGAACAATAAAAGTTTTAAAGCCATACTAGATCAATAAACATTACAATCTAGTGGTGGGATATAAAATGCACCTCTGCAAGATTTTTACAGCTAAACATTCTGCAGACGTATATATGGAACGTTATTACCACAGTAAGGAACAAATCTATAGAAACCTAACAAAGACTCAAAGCTTTACTGGTAGATATTTTGTAACAACACAAAACAATACTTTAATACTCCAAGTTTTGTGGCTATAAAATGTGTATTATAATTGGCTTGAGTGGAACAAATCTATAGAAACCTAACAAAGACTCAGAACTTGTTTTTTACTGGTAGATATTCTGTAACAACACAAAACAGCACTATAATACTCTACACTATAATACTTTTTGTGAACAATGTAAATTGTGTATTATAGTGGGTTTGTAATGCAGATGATGCATCTGTAAAAATGAACTGTCACATTTCATAAGGTACAGTGAGGGCTTTTTCATACCAGGCCTACGGAGCAATTTACCGACCTAACCAACCATCGAGGACCTCCATTTATTGTCCCATCTGGAGCAATAGATAAAGGAATGACGTGTAGTTTATTGGTTGGTCACTATTGAATGAGTCCGAGACGCAAAAAAAGGTGAACAATAAATCGATGATGTTAAACCTTTGAAAAATTTTTAGTATTTTGTAAATTAATACACACAAACACACACAGGCACACACACACACACACGCACGCACGCAAAAACACACTTATACACACACACAAACACACAGGTACACACACACTCACACACACACACATACACATAAACACACACACACACACCACACACATACACAATCACACTCACTCACATACACACACACACATACACAAACACAAACACACACACCAAAAAAAGGCATCTCCAACATAACAAGCCATCTTGGAATCAATTCAGAAAACCCTCAACAGGTTTTCCCACTTGAAACATTCTGAAATTGACAAATGGATGAGCCCGGATGGCATCAGGCCTAGAAGTTAAGAAATGATGAATGTAGCTGCACATCCCACTACTTATCAATGCCAACAGACACATACAAACACAAAACACATGTGCATATACTTAAACACACACACATCAATACACATTCACACACACACACACATACACACACACACACACACACACAAACACTCACATACACACAGACACACACACACAAACACTCACACACACACACACACACACACACACACACACACACACACATACTCACACTCACACACACACACACAAAAAGACATCTACAATATAACAAGCCATCTTGGAATCAATTCAGAAAACCGTCAACAGGTTTTCCCACTTGAAACATTCTGAAATTGACAAATGGATGAGCCCTGATGGCATGAAGCCTAGAAGTTAAGAAATGATGAATGTAGCTGCATATCCCACTACTTATCACTGCCAACAGAAACATACAAACATACAGACACATGTGCACATATATTTGAACACACACACACACACACACACACACACACACACACACACACACACACATACACACACACACACACACAGGCACACATA